AAAAAAAAAAAAAAAAAAAAAAAAAAAGAGCATTCTCTTTTCTCCATACTTACCTAGCAAACTCTAATGATTTGTCAGATCTTGGCTTAAGTGGCATTTGCGGGCCCCCTACTCAAGTAAGTTGCACATCATGCCCCGTCATAGTTCCCTCTACTTCACTCTTGCATCATCCATCCTGCTTATAATTACCTGAATAATATCTGACTTCACAGTCTCTAAGAGTAGGAACGCATATCTCACTTGTATCTCTAGAATTTAGCAAAGGACCCGACATTGTGGGCACTCAGTGAAAAGCTAATTAAATGATTAAATATATGTTTAGGACAGGGTCACACTGAATAGTCTGTCCTCTAAATTTTCTCCTGGTAACTCTGACCATCTTAAAATAGTTTTTCATTAGTTCACTTGTTAAGTGACTTTTTCTATGGAGTACCTGTTGTGTGTTAGGCTAGCCTGTGAAGCACAACCAACACACCCATCAGGTGTTCAGAGAGAAAAAAAGACCACTGAGTGTTACACTAGTTACTGAGATTTTATGGAGAAAAAGCATTGCTTCTGAGCCTTGTAAACTGAGTGAAATTTGAACAGGTGGAGAGAATTGGGTGGGGGTACCCGGAAGGGGTCCCAGCAAGAGAAAAAACATTAGGAAAGAGAATATCGTTTAGTAGCGACAGTAAGAAGACCAGCCTCTCTGGACATTTCTTCCATCCCTCCCCTCAATTATTCATTCCTCCAACACTGATTGAGTAGAGGGGGTACAGAGGACCTTGAAAGCTAGACAATGCTCTGGATACACCATTCATTTCAGAACCTGCTTTGGCTCTTACGAATGAAAGAATTGGTCCCTTCTCCCCAATTATGCCTCTGTTCTGTTCTCACCCACACTCCTAGACGGCAGAGAGCACTCCTTTTACATCTTTTATAGCTCTCCACTATTCATTTTTAATGTTTTATGCATGGTAAGCACCCAAAAATGCAGTTAAACAATGAAACCTGTCTTTTAAATTTGTAATGACTTGCTCCAAGCTGGGGTGAGGCTCATTGATAGTGAGGTTAGGGACGACAGGTTATTTTACTATAAAAGAGAAATAGATAGATGGGCTATCTTTTTTTTTTTTAAGTAAGTTCCTTACAAAAAACCCAGAAGTAATAAATATATGCTCATTTCAGAAGATTTGGAAAATACAATCTGGCAGAAGAAAATGAAAATCATCTAGAATCTCACTATCTAGTGATCGCTACTGTTAATATTTTGGTACATATCCTTATAGACATTTATCCATTTATAGATACACATATATATTTATAAAGCTAGTTTCATATAGTTCAACTTATTTTTTATTGTGTTAAAAACCACATAACATAAAATTTACCATTTTTAAGTGTATAGTTCAGTAGTGCTAAGTATATTCACATTGATATGAAACAGATCCCCAGAACTTTTTCATCTTGCTAATCTGAAATTCTATACCCATTAAACTTATTCTTTTAACTTAACAATAAATCCTAAATCTTTCCATAATATCAAATATCCCATAATATTAAATATTATTCTTCAACATTATTTTTAATGGGTACATATTTTTTCATGACTGTAATTTTTTTAAACTAAATATTTATTGTTAGATGTATAGGTTATCTCGTTTTTCACCATTACACACAATGCTGTGGTGAACATTTTTGCACATTTTGAATACATATCTTTGCATACTTATGTAAATATTTCCTTACAATAAACTCTTAGATGTAGAATCGATGGCTCGAAAGAGATGCACATTTTTAAATTTTTGATATGAGTTTATTTGAGTTTGGATATGAGAAATTTCACTAATTTACACTCCCATAAGCAAATGGAAAAGGTCTATTTCCCCACACTCTTGCCAGAATTGGGAATTATTGTCTGGTTTCTTTTTTTTAGAGACTTTAGTTAGTTGTGAAATAAGCCTCATATCAAACAGGAATTGCTCTCAGGCATCACTGGGGCACATGCATATTTTTGAGTAAGCTTGAGTCAGATGTAGACTTGATACTCACGTACCTCTACAAACAAGACAGGGAAGATGCCTACTTTATCTCCTAACTTGCCTTCTGCCCAGTTCTCATCCACCCGGCTGAGCACAGTGATGATGTCATCCTGAAAGAGAAAGTCTCATGGTCAGCATTCACTCTCAGTTTTCAGGTGGTAAAAAAGCTTTCAGTGGAGATCAGTTTGGAGTTCCAGATAGCATAAGATGCAAGAAACATAGCTCTTGTGTGATTTATTTAGGAAATCTTCCTCCTAAAGTGGATTTTCTCTGTAAAGGGCAATATTTGGGTCACCAAGACCACAAAGGGAGTAGAAATAATTTGGAGGATCAAAGGAATCCAATAGAAAAACTTGGAAGTGTTTCTAATTTTCAAATACTAGCAGAATCCAGCTTTTCATTTAAATTATTCAGATAGAGAAATTAAGATGTAAGCCATACGAAGACACACCTTTAGCTTAGCAAAAGGAAGAATGAATTTCATTCTCATTTTGAAGACTTTTCAGAACCTATTTGATTTTTAAAATATCAAACATAAAGCAGCTTTTTACCCAAGTTTTTCTTATTGTACAAGATTATATGTGAATTTGTAGAAATATTTGAAAATAGAGATAAGCAAAACAAGGAAAAAATTCTACCACAATATAGGTACAACCACTATTAACAGCATGGTTAACGTATTTTTTTCCCCAAGATTCTTATCTATCGAAAAAACATATAGACCTATAAACATACTGACTTTTTAAAAACTTTTAAAAAACATACACACATACATTCAATAAAGTGCATAAAGAAAGCTTGAAAAATTTTTACATTTGAATATGTCCATGAACCCCCCCATCCAGATCAAGATATAGAACATTTCCAGCACCCAGAGGCTCTTTTGTGTCTTTCCCTACCACCTGGCAAGAGGTAACCACTATTCTGACTTCTAGCACTATACGCTCATTTTGCCTATTCTTGTATTTCATACAAATGAAGTCATACAGGACACAATGACTTTTTACTTACTACCATATCAGGAACCTTTCCATATCCGCACATGTTTATCAATCTAAATATGTGCTATTTATTCACTAATGACCTTCTGATCTCTCTGACCTCTGTTCCATGCTCCTCAGTAATTTAGACTAATACCAAATCCAAATTCATTACTGCATCATATCTTTTCTTAGCTTTCTGTCACACATTTGCAATTACACATTTATAGGTTGTTATTTTTTTAATGCCTGTCCATCCTATCAGACCATAAACTCCACGCGTGTAGCTTGTGTCTGTTTTGATCATCTCTGTTGTTTCCAGTCCCTAACACAGCAGGTCCCCTTTAGTAGTCATCTAATAACTATTTCTTGAATACATGCACACATGAATTAATACATGAATGTGTAAATAAATTGTACAATTTACTCAGATAAAAAGCACTAGGAAAAGAGCAGCTTTGGGAGGGAAGATCTTGAGTGCAATTTGAACATATCGACTTTAGGAAGACCATGAGATTTCCTAGTGAACATACTGAGTTTAGGAAGACCTAGAGATTTCACAGTCCTCCAGAATGGATCAAATCTTCTTTTTTGGCTCCTTTGTGATAATTTCCATTTATGTGTCTATTTCTTCCTCTATACTAATGGTTTTGTGAAGCTAGAGACAATGACTTATCTGTTTATCCCTAGTGGCCAGCTTGGCACATGGTGGGCTCCAGAAATGGTGAACATGTGGAGTAAGTGTCCCAGTCTGCAAATTCCCAGAGAGGGATCAGAGAAGCAGATAATGTCTGCTTATGTCTTCCTCCAGCTGTGTCCCCAGAGCTCAGTGTCTAATGCCTGGCACAAATAAATAATAAATGTTTGTGGAATTGAACTGACCTTCCTCTAACTGTAGTCTATGTATAAATTTCATAGTTTGGGCTATAGAATGACATTCCTCAGTAGTCTCACTCTGAGGTGCCAAGACAATAATAAAAATCATTATTTCAAAATATGGAAAACAGAGAGGTAATCTAGTTTGAGGGAATCTAAAGGAAATCTCATTTTTGATAGTGGTGAAATAAAAATGTTTTATAAGACAAAAGACCTTTCCCGAGCTAATGTAGCAGTGCCACCCTTGTTACATTTGATGTACTTATCATAAATAGCAAAGAATCCCCAACTTTGGTTTTTATGAAAGAATCTGAATGTGTAAGGAATAACAAGTACTGACCACAGAGAGCTAAGGTAGTCTAGACTTCAGGTAATGTTGTAACATGCAAATGGTGAAGAATCATCCAATGGGGAAAAAAAAAAAGGCAAAAAATCTTAGGGTAATTAGTGTGCTTAGAAAATATATCTTGTAAGAAGTTATTTATGTACAAACGTATGAATATGTTATTGTGTGTTTGGAGTGTTTTGAATGCTATGTTTACTATAAAATAGAACGTTGTAAATGAGTAGAATTAGGTGACCATAACTTGGTCAACAAGAATACCCTTACAGATGCATAATGAAGAGGTAGGAGCCCCTGTAGTAGCCGCCACACACACACACACACACACACACACACACACACACACACACACACACACACA